ATTGAAAAGCTCCTCCTTTGTCTTTGGAATGCTATCTATCAACTGCTTGGCATCCATTATTTTCGAGTTCTCGTCCCTGTCCCGGTCCCGGTCTCTATCCTTTCTGCTTTTATCCCTGTGCCTCCGATCTTTTCTGTCATCCTCCGCAGATGGCGATCTCTTTGTTTTTACTGCTTGCATCTCCTCAGCAGAATAATCGATAGGAACAAGAGGACGTAGCATCCGATCCTTGGGCATCTCTTCTTCGTCCTCTTGGTGGAAAAGTGAAGGAAGTGTCGCACGTTTTCCAGTCCCCGAGATACCAAATCCCAACTTCTTCGGTATGTTTTTCATCTCTTGGTCGCTTTTGGCGGACTCTCCAGCAGTAGCTTCGTAGTCATCATTAGCTGGGCCATCCTCATCTGACAGGAAAGAAAACCATTAGAACGCAACGATAAAACTGTTGAACAAGAACGTACTTTCACTGTCAATCTCCATTGTGACATCTTCCTTGCTTGCTTCAGCAGCCTCTTTCGCAGCACGTAGTGCGTCCTGCATCTCAAGCTCCACCTTACGCCTCTTTGCCTCGAGAAGTTCCTCTTGCTCTCTTATAGCATCAGCGATATCCTCTTCCTTTTCTCTCATCCTCCTCCTTCGTCTTTCCTCTGGCCTGTAACGCCGCTTCTTCCCTTCATCATCACTATCGTCCTCCTGCTCCTTCACCTCCTTCTTTCTTTCACGTTCCCTTTCCTTCTCGCGCTCTTTGTCATGCAACCGCTGCCTGTCTCGTTCTCTTTCGCGAGCTTCCCACTCGCGCTCGTGCTCTTCATATGCACGATCAATGTCCCGATGCTTAGCGTTGCGGTCCCTGTCACGTCTAAACCTCTCCCTTTCCCGGTCCCTTTCAAACCTCTCAACGTCTCTGTCATTCTCGCGCTCCCGGTGGTCTTTATCCTTTCTTCCCCTCTCGGAAGAGCTAGTTTCCATTCTTTCCACCCTGTCACTGCTGTTCTCGTCGTCATTTTTGCCACTCAAATCATCTAGAGAAAAAACAATCAAACAGATTAAGATCATTTGCAACCATATAGATTGCTTACCTTTGACATCTGCATCTTTGGATTTGGCAGACGCGTCTCGAGTCGAAGGAGGGCGTCCGTCTGCATGGGGTCGGAACAAAGGTCTAGACCTCGCACTATTAAGCACAAAAACCAGTCGTAAAAACCGTAAGCAATGCTTTGCTACGTTACCGATCTTCAAGCAAGTGTTTCAATCTAATCAGTGCATCCTCATCGCCCTTTTTATCTGCCTCGTTCACAATGCCAAAAGCCTTCGGATTGCCGTCGGCACTCTTGACAGGTTTTTTAGAAGGCTGAACTTCTACACCAGGAGCGGTTTCGCTGTCTTCTTCCTGTGCCGCCTCCTCTAGGAGCTTGTCATTCTCTTTAGCTGCTACATATCTCTCGAGATACTCACGAGTATCCTTATTAACATTAAGCTGCATGATGGAAGCAGTTAATACGCATGGAGATAGAAAAAACTTCAGTCAAGAATTACCACTAGCTCTTGCCCATCCAAGCTATTCTTGTTCAAAAGCCGCAGTGCACGAAGAACTCCTTCCGCGTTTTCAAATTCGCAGAATCCAAATCCTTTGGGAGCGCTTGCTGTTGGATCCTGAGCCCGTTTCCAGCTTTTAATAGGTCCACATAGCTGCATACAGGTTATAAGTCTCAACGCAAGCATGAAAACGAAGATAAACAAACCACTCTTACCTGGAGAACATTCCGTAAGAACGCATCCTCTATCGTAGGAGCAATTTTCCCGACGTAGACCGTTGTAAATGGTTTCTCATATGGACCAGCTCCGAAGATGGGCTTTGCGGACATGTCGGGCATGCCAGGAGGCTTCAAAACTGGCAAAGGTCGCATACCTCCAACCGGTGGTCTCGCCGGGCTCCCGGCAGCAATTGGAGGGGGACGGGGGAACATCGCTGGCCGAGGAGCCGGAGCGAATGGAGGAGCCGAGTACCTCGGACCAGGGACTGACCAAGCCGAGCGTTAGAAAGTATAAAAAAACAAACTTTTTGTATGCCAATTGTTCCTTCCTTAGATATGGCATGAAGAAGATTGAGAGAAGAGACACTAGAATGCGGAGTTCAACTAGAACTAGGAAAATAAAATTTTCTAAAAGCATACCAAAGACGACAATTCACGCCATAGAGATCGGGCGGTTTGTCCATGGAGAGCTGTAGGAGAAAGAATCCCGTGATCAATCGATTACCAAGCACGGACACACACATTCTATGCCAGTGCAAGAAAAATGCATCGATCTATCTAGCAACGAGGAGAGCAAAGCACTGACCTTGCCCGGCCGGCGGCGGCAAATACCCTGGCATTGGATAGCTTGGCAAAGCACGGACATTTCCAGGGCTGGGCGACGCAACAGGAGGATTTGGAGCCCGGATTCCTCCAACCACCGCCGGCGCTGTGGCAACGCTGTCGTGAGGAGATCCCGCCATTGCCGCTCCCTCTCAGGCTGCGAGCGCCATCGCCACAAACCCTAAACACAAAATCGAAGACCTAAAAATGGCAGTGGCAGGAATCGATCCATGTCCGGTCCACCGCTTCCGTACGTGGCTAGTGGCCACGTACGAATGGGCCCAGCCGCCTTGTCCTCTCGCTTTTGCTTCTTTCTCTCTTCCGTGTGTGGTGGGTGTGAGGGTTTGTGTTTGGGGCGCGAAGCTTTTGTGATCTAGGGTAGCGCCACCGCGGCGGCTGGAGATCTGAAGCTCCTCTTCCTCGATCTGCGAGAATAAGGTATCGATCGATTGATCGCTGCGCTCTTTCTTCCAGCTTCTGATGGATCTGATTGAAATCATGTGGTGCCGTGCTGGATTTCGGGGGATCAGCTGCTCTAGCAATCGTCTTCCGTGATGGTAGGCTCCGATTCTAGCTCCTCTCGATCCAAAATTAGGTTTTTTTCCTCTAGTGCGTGCTTAGCGAAGATTCTTGCAGGCTAATGCGGCGTCCGGTATCGCTGTCCATGACGACTGTAAGCTCAAGTTCATGGAGCTCAAGCGAAAGAAGACCCACCGCTATGTGGTATTCAAGATCGACGAGAAAGCCCAGCAAGTAGTGGTGGAGAAACTGGGAGGACCCGATGAGAGCTACGAGGCTTTCACCGCCTCTCTCCCCGAGAACGATTGCAGATATGCCGTCTACGATTTTGATTTCGTCACCGACGACAATTGCCCCAAGAGCAAGATCTTCTTCATCTCCTGGTAAGTTGCAAGCCCAAGCTCCATCTTTTCTTCTTTTCTTCGTTTGGATCTCTATAGATCTTTTCCTCCCGTGGTTCTTCCAGGTCTCCGGACACCTCTCGAGTGAAATCCAAGATGATCTACGCGAGCTCCAAGGACAGGTTCCGCCGAGAATTGGATGGAGTTCATCTGGAGCTGCAGGCCACAGATCCAACCGAGGTCGATTACGATTGCGTCTTGGACAAAGCCAAAACCAACGCTGGACGCTGAAGAACACGAAAAACAAGAAGAAGAAAAAAAAAAGTTCCTCGGAGATGGCACACAGTGACCACTTTTGAAAGGGGCCTAAGAAAACAACACGAATCAAGGCAAGCTTGCCAGTGGGGGGGTGGTATTTGTTATTCTGTACATGGTGGTTCTCTTTTCTTTCCTTCCATTAGCTTTCGTTTAATTTGATTAAATGACAAGAGTTTTTGGATAATCTGAGCGTGGTTATGGCTAAACTGGTTAGGGTTCTTATGATTTGGAGGTTTCAGTAGAGAGGGGATTAGGCTATGGCGACTTCCGGTCGTGCGATTCGCGGATAGGAGCACGAAATGGCGTAGCGATTCACGGTCTGTGAGCTCGAAATCTCCGGCGCCGTGTCATGGATCCCGCTGCGGGCACCGAAATTGCGGAGGGAAATCTTCTCCGCATTCGGACCAGCCTCGGCGACGATCTCCAGGGCCATGTCCTCGCCTTCGACAAGGCTCTCAACATGGTCGTGATTCATATCCTTTTGCTGCGCTCGATCTCGCGCTTCTTGCTGGAAAATCCGCAAGAGCCCTAATCTCGCGTGTTCGTGTTCTTGAGCTTGCGCTTCCTTGACTGGTATGAACAGGAGAGCGGGGACGTTGGTGTTCGTGGCAACCTTCGCTTCCTCAAGGCGACTTTCATCAAGGAGATGACGGTGATCAAGCAACTGGAGGACTCTTTCGATTCCAGGCCGCGTTTCATCGACATTGCCAGCCTCAAGGCTCGTGAAGACGCTGCTTTGAAGTGGAAAATTGTGATCGTCTCTTTGTTCTCCAGTTCTCATTGTTTGCGCTCTTGGCAGGCAGGCTATGGCCGAGGCGGAGCGAATCGGCGTTGGAGTGACACAGGAAGCTCAAGACATCTTCGATGCTTTGTCCAAAACGTAAGCGTTCTCTTCTTTCGCTACGGCTATAGAACTTTGCGTGAGAACTTATTGTTCTTGATCCCAGGCTTCCAGTGCGGTGGGACAAAGCCACAATTTTGGTGATGGGGGACGTTAGAGTGAACGAGCCATACCTCCCAGAGAACGTTACTGGCGGTGCCACGGCGGCAAACGATCGAGTGAAAAAAGTGGTAAGCTCCGAAAACTTCGATCTTCCAAAAGTGGTTTTTGATCGATTCGATCGTGTTTTGTTTTAGCTGGAACTGGAGAGAATGCGGCTCCAAGCTCGCAGTTCTTCCGCAAACCCGTAGGAGCGAGGCCGAGAGAGGTCACAAACGAGATCGAAAAAAAAGAAGGAAGAGATCGTCCAACACCACCACCAACACCACAAAAAAAATCGTTCCAGGCAAGCTTGAGGCAGCAATGGCAGAGGAAACTTGCATCGATCGATCGATTGATCGTCTTCTAATCTTTCCTTTGTCACACTTTTTTTTCCTTTTCGGCTCCTCGGCGGAGCTGCTGATTCTCCTCACTGCTTAACACTGTAATCCCCTCGCTCTAAAATTCTTTGTAGCTTTTGTTGTAGCTTCTCTTTGGATGGAAAGCGAGAGAGAGAGAGAGAGAGATATTTCCAACTATAGCCAAATCGACGGTGGGATGGACGAAAGAAGAGAGGATCGGACGGTCCGGGAGCCATTGGTTCCCTCCATAGAATTTTTGGAGCTTGGGGCTATGGCGGCATTTTCGTGCTGGGCGAATTTGCCCCTGGCAGCGCGAATTCTTCCAGCGTCGTCCCCGCCGCTAGCTCCTGGCGCGTGCCGGGCAGTGGTGCCGGGCGTGAGATTGCGGGGTTCGCAATTCCAGAGGCGATCCTTTGATCCCGGCCACGCAGCGGTGATTCTCGCGGTTGTCGAGGAAGAACACAGGCCTGTGTGGGTGAAGCTCGCGGCTGCGGCCAGCGCCGCCGCGGTCGCGGTGATTCTATCGACGGGATTTGCCCTGGGAGACAAGATTGGCTACTACACCAGGTATGCCGCCGAGTACAAGAGGCGGGGGATGGAGCTCTTTGTGGAGGTATGGAAATTCTCGAAATGTAGCTTCGAATTTCGAGAAGTTCTCTTGGATTTCTTCGTGTGCCAGGGGGATTTGAATGGCTCGCTCGAGTTCTTCGATAAGTGTTTGGAAGTTCTCCCCGATGACTTGCCTTGTAAGTCGAGAAGTATGATGATAGTTTTATCTCATTTGCTTGTTTCTGGCTATATAGATCTTTGGCAAAGAGGCCTCACGCTGTTCTATCTCAACAAGTAGGCACACGAATTTTCACGTTTTGGATTCCAACTTTCTGGCACAGGTTTGAGGAGGCGGCCTCTCAATTTCGCGAGAACATCAAAGCTCGACCAGATGATACGGAAGAGGTTTTGTGGATTTGTTCGTTCGAGACGTGAGGTTGTTGATCATCCTTGCTTGCGTTTTTCTTGTAGCTTGTGTGGTGCTTTCTCTGCGATGCTCACATCGATGGATTGGAGGAGGCTCGCAAGAGACTACCACCCGTAAGTTCGATCGAGATTAGAATTCTCCAACTCTTTTGTGAGTTTTTGATACAACAACAATGCAGATTGGCGACGATGACAGGCCTTTCATGAACAAGATTTATGAGCTCTACAAAAACGGAGGAGATCCACAACAGGTGAAAGAGAGAAAACTCTCAAACCGAGAGATGTTCTAACGAGGTTCTTGTGACGTTTCAAGGCAGATGCTCTCAGATTTGGGTGTTGACGATGGCCAGGAGTATTTCTACATGGCACTGTACGCAGCACTCTACTATGACGCTCAGGTAGCCAGCCATCCATCGATTTAGAAACGCCGGGACTAACTTCTCTTTTGGATTCCTAGAAAAACTTGGAAGCTGCCAAAGCAACCATGGAAGCAGCTTGCCGGAGCTCTTATGGATCCAAGTAAGTTTTGTTGGAACAAGCATTCGTTCTCTACATTTATCTTGTGCAGGGCCAAGGACTACGTGGCCTACATTACCAAAATCCATAGCAAAACACGAAACTGGGAGCTCGTTCCAGCCACTTCGTGAACAGGAAGAGCAAGAGCCTTGGTTCTGCCACCATTCCGGCTCTATCTTATAAGATACAGGAGAAAGATTTTCTCGCGAAGCTGTAGTTCGCACGACGCAACCATAGCGCTGTGCTTGCCGATCACGGTGGCTACTCGTCCAAGACACTGGCTGCGACCATATCAAACACCATGGTACTTTGCTGATCATGGTCTTCATATGTGTTATAAAGTAAAAACCTGGACGAAAGATCAAAAATAAAAAGTTTGTACCTTCAAATCTCACGAGCTTGAATGTTATTGACAAAGGCGACTTTACATTCCGAGCACCACTTTCATTTGATTCTCCCAGTGCTCCTTAACTTGCTGGACGCGCTCCACGCGCTCTTTCTTGAGTCTCTCGTCCCAGTAATCCCTGCATCTGTGACACAAACCGAGAAAAAACTTGTACACTAGCACGAAACCAAAGAAGCTGAAAACCAACCTGTTTCTGATCATCAAGTTCAACTCCGTGAGTAAAACCGCGGTCAGGTACACGCCAGGCTGCACGGGGAAAGTCAAGGACAAAAGAGAAAAGCAAAAAATAAGTTCACATTCTAACTGTGTGTTGATAGAGCTCCTTTTTACCTGTCGACAAAGCGGACACTTGGACTCCTTGGTGGCAGACTTGACGCCTTGAATTGTTGGAATGGAAGCCGCAGAACAAGCACAGGTGTTGCAAAAGAGATGCCCGCAGCCCAGAGCGACTGGATCAAACAGCGTTTCCTAAAGGAAGAACAAAGCTCAAGCCATGAATCAACCGATATCGTCTTACCAGACAGATGGAGCACGTAAGATCCACTTCAAACGTCTGCGAGTCGACGAGAGTGCACTGGAGAGTAGCCTTGGAATCGCCAAATTCACAAGAGCAGTGTGACAGTCCCTCGGGAAAGGATAAGTTCTCACCACTGCTAGTCTCGCCATTTTCACCCTTCTGACCATCTTTTTTATCCTTGAGGTTGATGTAGAGAGCACTTAGCTCGATCAGCCATGGAGACTGGAGGAGCTCGACTTGCATGGCTTGGAGTCGTGTTCTAAAAGCTCGCCCAGCTACCGAGCAATGCACCTGGAAAGTGAAGCACCATCCAAACAGTGGAAAAAGAAGCAAGCAAGGCTTTCTAGCGAAGAAATACCTTGTCATACTTCTTTAGAATCTTGCGAATGGCGATGGCGTTCATCGAGGCATAGTTCACCAAGTTTCTTCCCTGATAGATCATCGCGCCGTGATCTCCACCAAAGTTGTGCCTCATGCGCAGTAGCATCCTCTGGAACTTGGAAGAGAGGTGGAATTCCAGGAGCTGCTGTGCGCGAGAGTTGAAACAGCCCACCACGGCGGAGATCTCCTTGAGCAAATTGGGGAAAAAATTCCCATCGCAGACTGGTTAGAAAAAAAAAAAAAAAATCAATCGCGATGAAAATGTATGTCATACATCGCATCGAAAATCCAATTGCGAAGCCTTACCTGGACACGCAACAGGGCAATTGCACGCCAGAGACGATGGATCCCCGGCCGATGGCGCCTTGAGGAGTTCTTGGCGGCCGCAACGCTTGAGAAGCTTCTTGTGGCGCTTGAATTCCACATACGAGCACCCCTCGAGAAGGCGCCGCCCTTCCTTCTCCACATACTCAGTGTATCTCTTCCCAAACTTCATGATCCACAACGCCGCGATCCCGATCCACACCCACAGCTCGCGATAGCGGCGAGATCGATCGGATTATCAAGAAAAGAAGAGATCGCGTTCGCGATGCGCCGGAGAGGAGGAGAGGAGGATCACATTCTCTACGCTAGCCCTAAAATCGGGAACACGCCGCCCATGGCGCCAATACGAGCGCTCTCAAGACGGTCCGCCACTTTGAAAAGATTTTACCTTTCACTCATGGAATCTTGTTAGTCAATTATTCGTTTAAGAGTGGTGTCACTTCCTAGTTCTTATCTTCCACCATGACTAAACGTTAAGTTTCTTATATCGAAACTTGCTATTATACGGTCATGGAATTATTTATATTAGAATATATGAAGAAATATTGTCATAGATTATATAGAGAATTTTTCTATACATGGAATTATTTTACTTTTCTCTTACGTTAGACGAGGCCAGTCATGGCTCTTTGGAGGTCTTTCACTTTGGATAGTAGCAACTCTTTCTCCTTGAGGAGCTGGAGCACCAAAACCTTTTGTTCTTGCTCGGCATTCACGAGCTCCTCTAGCTGCGCTTGCATTTGATCTTTCACGTCCTCGCTATCGACCATGCTAAACAGCCTCGAGACAACTTCCTGGACCTGGAAGACGATCGCAAAACAAAACAAAACAAAAAAAAAAACAAAGCTTAGAAACTTTCTAGCATCGATCAGCTTACGATGAGCTTACTCTTCCAGAGACTTCTTCCACTCGGCTGCTTCGTTGTCTCTCGATCGCCGGCGGGTGTTCTTGCTTCCGAAGCTCCCTCCGCGTGATCTGGATGTGGATTTGTCCCTTAGCGACCCCTTGCAACGGGATCCATCGATCAACAGTTTGGTTTCGAGCCTGGCGCTGGTAGTCCACGGCACAGTGGCCGATCGATGCGGTTGGCAAAATTGCATTGTAGTCTTTGACGTGGAGCTCCAAAGGACTTCCATCATCTATCAGATCCATGGTCTCGTTCCACAAGGGGCTGAGGCTCCTGTATATAACCTGCATTGCAAGTTTTCCTATCTTAAACCAAGCACACGAAAGAGAAAGTTCTTAGTACCTTTGTTCGCTTCCTCACGGTACCATAGCGCACGCTAACGTATGGGTCACTAGTGCCGTTCCAGTCCGCGGCCACAAGGTCCCTTGCTTCCACGAGAATAAGTTCTAGAATGTATGTCATGTTATGATCCTCCGTCTGAAAGAAAACACTTGTAACTCACTTAGCAAGAACAAACAAGGTGTTTTAACTCACCTCGGAGTCCCTCGTGTCAACTGCTTCAAGAAGTAAGTGTATTTCTCCTGTGTCTATTTTCTCCAGAGGTATCCAGACGTCCCTGGGTGTGTTTGCTTCAAGGCTATGCAAGTTAATCCTCGCGCTTCCCATATTCTCGTCATTCATGAGCATGTCAGCATCGTAACACTTGATCTTTATGTATTCTCCATCCCCGTATTCGTCGAACTCGAACTCCTGGTTCCAAACGGGATTGAGATTTTGTTGAATTGTCTTCGTTTTCCTTTGAATCTGTAAGTCCCAAATAAGCTCTTTACAAAGACAGTAAGAGATCAGTAGTACCTTGTTATATTGCAGTTTCAAGTAAGGGTCACTTTTTCCGCTCCTATCTTTTGGTGCTAGATTCCTTCCTTCAACTACTGTGACTTTGATCTTTCTGCCCGTGAGGTACCGCGTGCTTCGAAAAGCATCTAACTGCAAGAGTGGTGTCTGAGAATTTTTTGGATCGTCCGCGAAACACCATTCTTTTAGAACTAATTTCACGGTTATCTGTTCAGTCATATAAAGTTAGCACCGCGTTAAGGCAATAAAAGAGGAAGAATAAATAATTACCTCCCCAGATTTGTCCTCAATAGGAACAACCAGTTGAACTTCTCTGTCACACTGATCAACATGAGCGGCAATAACTCCGGGCTTTCGTCCTACAGCCCAAAATGTTGTGGAACCATCGAACACGTACTTGAACTGTTCCAACATAAACGTAAGAACTCAGTGATATCACAAGGACACGTCACCTTTATCTCGCATGTCCCTAGAAAGTCGGATTTAACTGACTGAAACCTTTGTTCGTAGACGTTCAAATGCAGTGTTGCCTCGCTACCGTGAAAAACCATGGTGATCGGAGCGTCCCACGTCGACTTTGGAGATGTCCCAGTCCTCCTCGAGAGATTTCCAAGAGTTAGCTCGACAAATGTTCCGCTGAAACTGCTGCCGTTGCTGGAATATCTGTCACCTGCTGTCATCCTGGAGCTGTTTTCTGGCCTGGGTATGTTTGCAGCCGTCAGCACGGATACTGAAAGTACACCACCGGTGACACGCTTTTTCGAATCCCGTACAGGTAGGGAAAAGCATCGCATTCGGGGTTCAACCATTGTACGATTCAAGGTATCTAGAAGTAGCTTCTCCTGAAAGGGCAACGAAAGGACGGTGTAAAGAAATGCTTGACTAAGGAACTGCAAGACAAACCAGCCATGACGAAACGACAGGAAGTTCAGTAGCAGGAAGATGCTGGTTTCCGCTGCCGAATGCAACACCAAGTTTTACATCTGGTGTCGACTCAAACGCATATAATATAGCTTGTCCGTCAAGTATAGGAACAAGCCGGAGCTGAAAAGAAATGAAAACGTCTGAGAGCTTAAACATCAACGGAAAGGAAAGAACGTTAAACTTACATCACCTCTTACTTGAATAGAGTTTATGTTTATACGTGCTACCTTCCCGGCAAAAGGAGCTGACAATTTCGCAGCGAGGAGAACGCTCATTTCATTGCTGACCCATTCGAATCCCATATGCAAAACTGGCTGAAAACATCCCAAATGCAATCAGAAAGTAAGGATAAGAATTAAATGGTTCCAACCTGGCAGTCTTCCAATGACCAGAATGTTCTTTGGAGCCCAAAGAGAGGAGGAGCTTTGCCCAGATCGAAATCATGCACTTCAATGGTTTGCTGCATATGACAACCACAACTGATTAACACATGAATCTAATAAAAACACCAAGAACAAAACTTACAATCGGCCTGGGCTTCTTCTCTTTGACTCTTCGCTAAAAGAGCACAAACAAATGTTGGCGGTATAGTAACGAAAACAAACCATACCTGTACAAGCGTTCGAAATCTCGAGGACAACCTTTTCTCCAGATAGTTTGGCCATATACACAAGACAAGCTTGTTAAACCACTCACAAGGCTCCAAAGGCGTGGTTGGCTGAGCAAATTCACGCGTTAGCGACGATCGAAAGCTTCAATCAAATTACCTGTGTGCAGAGAAAATGTCGCTTCCATCGGTTGTTTAGATCCTCCACAATCTGTTGCTGTCGATACCGTCCATACTAAAAACTCGATGGTTTTAATAACGAACTAAAGTTCTAAAGACTTACCTGAATAGTCGCCCACACCGTGACACACACCGGGACCCAATTCGAGAATGGAACGATCCATCTCTCCAGCGCCCACGCTAGAAGAAACACTGGTATGAGGAAGGGAAGGATCGGCTTGTCCCGGATCAAATGCTGCCAAACGCCAGTAAATTCGCTACTGTGCCGCCGCCCGCCGCTCCCCACATACTGCCGAGGAAGGAATCTACCATAATCCACCCCATTTGCTTCCCGGATGACAGTCCCCACGAACTGATTCCTCGCCATCGCCGATCGATCCACTAGAGCTCCAAAACCCCTGCGAAATCTTACATTGCTGGAATTTCTTGGCGGATCTTTCTTAAAACCCTAGAGAAGCCGCTCGGTATTCCGCCAAAGCTCGTGTACTAGGCCATTTCATCTTTGGCGGCCCCGCCAACACTCCAAAGTTGACCGGCGGCGCCGCCAAGCGGCATATTACGTCAGTTTAAAGCACATTCTGTCTCTTTATTTTCTAGGGTTCTTAGTTTTCCATGTGGCCGGACATGGTTGGAGCATGCTTATAGCGCGCGGGGATCTGTGGTTTGTCCGGAAGATTGCTGCTGTTGTGCTGATTCACGGCTTCTAGCGCGCTGCTCGATCGCGCTATCCAGCATGGAGATCTACACGACAGGAATCGTAAGCTCCTTCGTTCCATTTTTTCCAAAAATCTCGGCATTTCTTGTAAATGTATGAGCTACATTGTTTGTGTGTGATGCAGCTCTCGCCGAAATCCTCTCGAAGCACAAAGGTACGCTCCCTAGATGACTTTTTGGTCGTTTCTTATTCAATACATTTTTTTTCCAGGATGGTTTTGGAACTTCTACGGACTACTCGGATCGGCAGCTTACAAGCCGGGAGTCCAATCTCAGCGAGTAAGAATTTCAAGTTTGCGTAGTTCTGTTTCATTCTCATTCTTTCTTTGGTGGGATGGTTCTCAGGCTATGGTCGAAAACACCATTCCAAATGCCTCCCGACGAAGAGGTGTTGAGGATGAGGTCTTTGGAGAAGGAGAAGCTCAAGGAGCAAAAGAGAAGGGAAAATCTGCTCCCAGTTGCTGAGAGGACTACGTTTGCTTCAAAACTTGGTTCTACGCGATGGTCCAAGGAACTTAGACAAGTATGCTTTTTCCAACTTTTCATTCTTCTTTACCGATTTGGCTTGCTTTTGCAGGACATGATAGATATCGACGAGCAAATTTCAAAAGAGATGGAGAAGCTCCGGAGCGTGACAATACTTCCGGTGGAACACTACCACAAAGAAAAAGAGAATATGGCCGAGTTCATTGCCAAGAAACGGGAAATTTTTCTGGTGCAAATGAGCTTGGACACGAAGAGGGCGGAGATCAGGAAGCTGGAAGACAAAATTTTCCAGAGAGAGGAGGTAAACAATTCTCTTTTACTTTATATCAAAGACCTTTTCAGGCTTTAAGGAAAAGCGAGGAAATGCTTGCAGAGGACAGCTTAGAGTTTGATGCGTTTCTAAAGAAGAACGATGAGAAGGTAAGGCCCACAAAAAGATTTCTCAAATCATAAAAGCAAGATGTTCATTTTGCCAGGTGCAAGAGGCTATCAGGAAGGCTGAAATGCAAACAAGGCTCAAGCAGGACAAGGCATGCGACCATCATACTCATAAAATAACAAGGAGTTCCACTTCTCATCCACGATAACAAACTTCGCAATATAGGTTGCGGAGGCAAAAAGGTTGAACAGCAATATTTCAGCTCTGAAGCGAGATCTCAACAAGGTAAAGTTCGCTTTCATAGAGAGGAGCCCTGCTAAAACATTCCAGGTTGCTGCAGTATAAGGAGCAACTGGACGAATGTAAGAAGTACAAGGACTTCCTTGTAAGCCTTACGCCAAAAGAGTGGTTTGAAGAGCAAGCGCAGCAGAAAATATCACAGAAAAAGGAACCAGCAGCAGCTGAGAGTACCTCGGAATCTGGAGGTGATATTGTCTCTTTCATTGACATTCATTTATCTAATCAATGGGAGATGTAACATTAGATGGAGACGATGGCGAACAGGAGCAAATGTTTTTCCGCCATCCAAGCCAGGTCTGTTTTGTACATTTTAATTCCAAATATCTCAACTCTCTCGCAGCAAAATACTGCAGCTCTTGGAAATCTTTACCGAGCTTGAGGAGAAGAACTTGACGTTAATGCAAGAGTGTCAAGACAGTGAAAATGCTCTTGAAGATCTCAGAACCAAACTTCGGGAGACTAGAGCAACGAATGACAACAAGCTTGGGAACCTACGCCTCCAACTTCAAGTACATCTTTTCTTTTTATCGCGTTTCTCTGAGTAACTTCAAAGTCAATGACACCGCCAGAGCTTGAGAGTGTCACTGAGGGGTCAAGAAGAGTCACAAAGCAGGCTGCAAAACAAGACGCTTCTGAATATGGTCGACCGCAAGTATGAAATAACGTCCGAAGACATTATGGCCAAGGTAGCAGAGGTCTATGCGAGATCCGGATTCGAAATTGACCCTTCGCTGGGTGTGATACAAATGCTGACGAACATTGAGGTTCGTTTTTACTTCCGTCCTTTCCCTTGTCGTCCTGACCGCGTAGTAAATATGTTCCAGTCGAGGCTTGAAGAGAATGTGATCGCGCTGGAAGGGATTCCTCAAGACTTCATAGAACAAACGGAGAAGAGCCGGGAGAAGGAAAGGCGACTTAAAGTTCGTGCCGAGAGGCTGGAGAAAGTGAGGGAGGAGCAAGAAAGACGAGCAATGAGGAGCTTAGAACGAGCACAGGTGAAACTTCTCTGTGTTTTTTCGGAAGAAGCTAACAGTGATACTGCCAGGCTCCTGTTCACAAGAGAATTGGAAAGCCAGTGATGTTTCGATCATTTCTCAAGAAGAAAAAGAAGGAGAAAGTCGAGGATGTGAGCAAAAGTGGAGACGAAAAGGACTTGCTGGACTTCCTGGCTCGAGCATACTGATAAGTTCTTGGTTTTCTCCGCGAGGTACTTGCCGTAAGGTAAGGCATGTTTTAAATTCTCTAGCCAGTCGTTGTAGAATATAACATGCTCGTGAATTCATTCAAGTTTTTATTTTTTTCTTTTGTACAGATTCCATGGAATCGTGATTCGTGAGTGTAAGTAAGCCAAAAGAAAACGGCCCAAAACATTGAAATCGCCATGCCAATCACCGGAGCATTCAATTTCCCACCATCTTTCTTTCTCACTCCTTTCGTTCCTTTTCTATTTTCCCAGCTAGCTAACCATCGCCACCATTAACTCTTGCCAATCAATGGCGACCATCGTCTCGTTGTCCTGAGCAAGAAGAGAGGTATTGTCCGTCCGGAGAAGAAAGCGAGAGTGGTCGAATTTTGGTTTCTCATCCTCTCATGGAGACCATTCACGAAGCTTGCGAGGAATCGTCTTCCCAGGCTGGAGATGAAGATAATCTTCCGAGCGTCGACTTTGGTGCACGTAGATCGGCAATGGAGAACAGCTCTTGCAGCAGGTGGAGAGGTTTCTACGTTTGATCTATCCTGACGATGTCTTTCCAGGTGCAAAGCTTTGGGATCTCTCCAGTTCTTCAAGGTCTATGCTGGTCACAGCCATCTCGCGTTCCACAAGGTCGGTTTGTTTTCTTCCTGGCGACGGAACAAAAATGAAAAAGCTTGGTTGTTTGTGAGCAGTGTTTATTGGCTTCGAAGAGTGGATACCTGTCGAGGGTCTTGAAGAATTCTTCTCGGTTCAAGCTGCCCATGGATTTTCCAGGAGGAATGGAAGTGTTTGAGGCGGTGGTAGGCTTGTGTGAGAGCAACACTGGCAGCAGGACCAATGCCGCCACCAAAAATCCGCTTTTGGAACCGTCCAACGTTGTCATCCTCCACTGCGCGGCCGAGTACCTGGAAATGAACAGCGGAGCAGGAAGCCTGTGTGAGACAACGAGCTTTCACCTCAACCAGGCACTCACAAGTTGGTCGGACTCCATCCAAGTTCTCTCGAGTTGCTACTCCGGACAGCCCGAGTTGCTACAGCTCGCCGAGGAGCTCTTCATCGTCCAAAGATGCGTCGAGTCGCTGGCTTCGATGGTTTGCAGCGAGTTTGAGCAGAGCTGGATCATGGGCAGCAGCAGAGTCACAGCCAGATCGAAGCTCTGGATCAAGGACTTGATGCGGATGCCTTTCAGGATCTTCAGCCGGATCATCGTGAGTTGCACGAAGCAGGGACTCTCTCCCAAGAACACGAGCCAGCTGGTGGTCAAGTACGCAGAAAAATGGCTCTTTTCTGAGAGCTGCTGCTCCGACTTTGACGAGAACGACGAGCAGCGATCCCTGACCGACGAGCTCCTCCAGGAGATGCTCGATTGCATCGCCCACCTCCTCCCATTCGAGAGAGGCGCGGTGCCAATCAGCTTCCTCTTCGCGCTGCTCAGATACTCGGTCGCGATCGATGCCCCGCGCGACTGCCGCGTCCAGATCGAGAGCCGGATCGCCTGTCAGCTGGACCTGGCCACCATCGAGGATCTTCTCATGCCTTTCAAATCCGCCCGCCAGGCCCCGACGCTGCTGTGCGAGCTCGACAGCATGAAGCACATCGTCGCGCTCTTCATGGCCCAGTGCCGGGCAGTGGATTCGAGCACCGGACTGGCCAACTGGGAGCCCATTGCCAACGTGGCTAGGGTGTGGGACGAGTACCTGACGGAGATTGGATATTCTGGCAGCATCACGCCGACGAAGTTCGCGGAGCTCATTGATGCCGTGCCCGGATTCGTCCGCGTGTCCCACGACCAGCTCTACAAGGCCATCCACGTCTTCCTCAAGGTACTACCGAGAGCCGTTGGATCCCCGTGCTAATCTCGTGACTATTCCGTGTGTGGTAGGCGCATCCCACGGCTTCCCAGTCGGAACGCTCGGCGATTTGTCGGCCGTTGGATTGCCAGAAGCTCTCCCAAGAGGTTTGCATCCATGCCGTCCAGAACGAGCTCATGCCGCTGAGGACGATCGTCCAAGCCATGTTTGTCCAGCAGCACCACACGAGAAGAGAGATGGATCATCAATTCACGCGAGGCCCGACGCGATCCACCAAGAACAAAGGCGTCGATCATCTCGATCTCTACGAGTATCATCAAGCGGAAGGGGGATGCGAGGAAATCCTGCCGTTCCTCGCGAGCTTGAAGCGCGAGAGAGACGATCACGACTTGAAAGCCAATCTGGAGGTGACAAATTCGAAGCTCGAGAGCCTGGAGCAGCAGCTCTTGATGATCCGGAGAGCCCTGGAAGAATCGAGCCACATTCCAGCGGCGGCAGCGGCGGAAAGATCAAGTAGCGGCGGCGTTGGGCGAAAGATCTCCAAGGCGATCCACAAAGTAGGCCTCTTGAGCGGCCTCTGCAAGGGGAATCCCCAGATGATCGTGGCGATGAATCCCGCGGAGCGATGCTTTCCCAATCGCAGTATCATCCACCCCGAGGACTATCACCTGCTTGGCGGAGAATCCATCGCGCAAGCTCCTCCCCGGCGATCTACATCGTCCCGCGACGACGCCGCCACAGCAGCAGCATCAAATCCCCTCGCCAAGAACGCACAATCCACAGCAAGGCGGCATTCCCATTCCCATTCCTCCCAATCTTCACGGTACTCCACGTCCTGACCAGGAGAAGCCCTAAAAACAGCATGGTTAAAACCCTCATAAATAACTGCCTTGATCCCAGCCGTCCATCGCCGCATCGACGGTGGGGGATCCACCGGGAGAAAATAACGAGCCGGTGGACCCGAATCCGACGGTGCCGCGCGCGCCACGTCACTGGAAGACGGCCGACGGAGACGGCGAAAGGCGCCGGCGGCAGCACAAACATTCCCCTATTAGGGCCCTTCTATTGGGGTTGATTTTTATCGTGGAGAAGGCAAGGGCGCCTTAGGTCATCCTCGCTTTCGTGGGCAATCTAGGGCACGTATTCCCACCAGTTATTAGGGTTTCGGATCCAGCGATAGCTCGGATTGGGGAACCGGGTTCCCATCCAGCAAAAGGCGCAAATTTCGATTTCGAAAATATTTCATCCTCTCCGTCTCGGATTCCCTCACGGCCGCGATCGATCGGCGCCTCCACAGCTGAAATTCTCGCCGCGATGCCGAGGTAGCGATTCGGCAGCTGGAAATCGCATCAGGTGAGGGGGTTCCTCCCGATTCTCTCCCTCCCGGCTGCCTGAGTTGGGGTTTAGGACTCTGGAGAGGCCTTCTTGCAGCATTTGTGTGGCTGGAAATCCATTTAGGCATTCTTTGCTTGACGAATATTTGGCGAGCTCCTCGATTCACTACACTATCAGCTTCAGGGCTCTTAAGAGTTTTTTTTCCTTCGATCCAGGTGGTGTGGGAGCATTTAATCGCCGCTGATACCTCCCTATGATGTCAGAGTATGAAGAGGCCGACGAATCCAATGAGAATGAGGATAGTTTTGTAGGACAACAAGAGCATTTCTCCAGTAGGCCGAGGAAATCTAGGTACGAGCCTTCAGACGGCGACGACGCGAGCCAATCTGATCATGGAGATCCAGAGTACAAAGAGGATTCGGGTGATGAGAATTACGAAGATGGTGGATACGAGAATGGAGCTGCTTCGTTTAGGTATTCTACTGTAGAGTCCCGGGATTTTCAGCTCGAGCCCGAGGAGTCTGAAGAATATGTGATGGAGGAAGAGGAAGAAGACGATAATGGAGGTACTTCAGCTTCAAACTTTTTTTCCCTTCTTCCTAACTTCTCTCTCTTTTTTATCTACGTGATAGGTGACGACCCTCAAGACGCTGATTTTGATCCTGTGTCACCAGAGAACAATTTCTCGCAACAGGTACTTTTCATTCCGCTCTTGGAAGCGCTTGAGCTTTTGTCGGCTGCGTCTTAGGAAGAGGACGATGACGACGACTACAACGCAAGTGCTGAGGAGCAGGAAGAAGCCGCCAGCACTGGAGGTTTTGACGTATCCAGTGACGAGGAGCTTGTTCGGCCTGCGAATCCCAGAAAGCGGCCTGCGATCAAGATTGCGCAACCTCGATTCGGGTCAAATAACCAGAAACGGCATAGAATTGTGCAGAAGAAAGACTATCCGTCGGATGAAGAAGACTCTTCTGACGGTGAAGACCAGCGTAATCATCGTAAGGTTGTTGTTGCAAGCTCCATCAGACCTGTTGTCATCGCCCCAAGTCAACGAGCACCAGCAGACTTTTCCTCCAGGGAAACGAGAAGCAGAAGATCGATTCCTAGGAAATCTTACGTGGAGGAGGAAAGCGAAGAGGATGAAGAAGATCAAAAAGCAAAGAAAAAGGTATGTTGAACGTATGATTCAGCTCGTCGCTAACGTTTATATGCAGGTATCCCCGGATGAGATTGAAGAAGAAGACAGTGACAAAATAGAAAGGGTAGTGTGGCACCAGCCCAAGGGTATCGCGGAAGCAGAAATGTTAGAAGGCAGGAAAGCAGAACCGTTCATCCTCGATACAGATCCTCATGCTGATTTAGATTGGGAAGAACAAGAGTTTTACATCAAATGGAAGGGACAATCCTACCTTCATTGTCAATGGCAAGGTCTTGCTGATCTCCACCAGGTACTATGCTCTCTTACTTCGAACATCATATTAAAAGGCGTTTGCAGCTAAGTGGATACAAGAAGGTCGTTAACTACATGAAAAAAGTTGAAGAAGATCGGCAGAAGAGAAGAAACTTGAGTGGAGAAGAGGTTCTGATTCTGCCTGTTGGTGTGATCGTGTCCTAATACTTGCTGGCAGGCCGAGGTGCATGATTTGAGCAAGGAGATGGAATTGGATCTCTTGAAGCAGTATACCCAGGTGTTTGTTACTACTATCCCTGTGTATGATATTTTAACTGACTTTGGGATACAGGTTGAAAGAGTGTTCGCCGAGAGAATCGGCACTGTTGATGGAGAAGAATTTCAAGAATACCTTGTTAAGTGGAAAGGTCTCTCCTACGCAGAATCAACCTGGTATTCTTTTCTTGTTCTTTTTGTTCTATTCTCTTAACGACTTGCGCCAGGGAAAAGGACATTGATCTCGCATTTGCTCAAGATTTTATCGACGAGTATAAGGTACATGACAAAGCTGGTTACCGTACCGTGTTTTTAATCAATTTTTTTCCATCAGGAGAGAGAAAGTGCATCTAATTTTCAGGGAAAATCTGTCGATTTTCAACGGAAGAGAGGCAAATGTACTATCTTAGAAGTATTAACATCAGTAACAGTTGCCTTCTTTTCTTTCAGTGATCTTAAGAAAGCTTGAGGAGCAGCCAGAGTGGTTGAAAGGTGGAAAACTACGTGATTACCAGCTAGAAGGTTTAAACTTTCTAGTGAATGGGTATGTCTTCTTTCTAGATTAACAAATGAACTTCTGTTACCGAACTTATGTTGCAGTTGGCGTATGAATACAAATGTTATTCTTGCCGATGAAATGGGTCTAGGAAAGACCGTACAGTCGTTATCGATGCTGGGATACCTGCAGGTACTTGATTATTTTTGCTGAACTTCATAAATTTTCGTTTCTTTCAGTATAACCTGGAAATCTTAGGACCTTTTTTAGTGGTCGTACCTCTTTCCACAATCGCTAACTGGGCCAAAGAGTTTCGAAAATGGTTGCCCAACATGAATGTGCTGGTGTATGTTGGCAATGTGGCCAGTCGTGAGGTAAGAGTTTTCTGTTGATGGATTTTAGCTAAGTATTTTTATGTAGATGTGTCAAAAATACGAGTTCTTCACTGCATCGGGACGAGCTAAATTCAACACTTTGATCACGACGTACGAACTTGTATTGAAGGATAAAGACGTCCTATCTCAGTTCAAGTGGGACTTTCTGATGGTGGATGAAGCTCATCGTTTGAAAAACAACGAGGCAGCGTTGTATACTGAGCTCATGGTATGCTGTGTTGGGAAGCTCGTTTTGGTTATTAACATGCTTTTCAAGCAGAAATTTAGTGCAAAGAACAAAGTTCTTGTGACTGGAACGCCTTTACAAAATAATGTCGAGGAGCTCTGGTATGTCCTGTTTAAAGCTCATGGAAGTTCTTACTCTCGTTTATGACTAGGGCGCTTTTACATTTTCTTGATCCTATAAAATTTAGAAACAAAGACGATTATAAAAATCTGGTGTCATTTAACGAAGCTGAGGTCGGTTTCTGCCACCAATTTCCCACTTCATAGCTAATTGGTGGGATGTTTCAGCTAGCGAGGCTGCATGCCGAGTTGCGGCCACATTTGTTGAGAAGGGTGATAAAGGACGTGGAGAAATCTTTGCCTCCTAAAATCGAGCGTATTCTTAGAGTGGAGATGTCTCCACTTCAAAAACAGTATGGGGTTCAAATAAGTGTCCACGTAGTAATCCTCGTTCGTTTTCAGGTATTACAAATGGATTTTGGAGCGTAATTTCAGTGATCTGAACAAAGGCGTTCGTGGGAATCAGGTATTTTTTTGCGTCCTTTTTCTTTTCGCATTTTTGAACTCCTACCTTGCAGGTGTCTCTCCTGAACATAGTTGTGGAATTAAAGAAGTGCTGCAACCATCCCTTTCTTTTTGAGAGTGCGGATCATGGTTACGGAGCAAATGCAACTATGACCGACAATAGTAGAGTGCAAAGGGTTGTTCTCAGCAGCGGCAAGCTGGTTTTACTCGATAAGCTTCTTGTCCGTTTGAAGGAAACGGGCCACAGGGTTCTGATTTTCTCTCAGGTATTTTAGTCTTGCATTCACAGTTTTCTTAGCACATGTTACAGATGGTGAAAATGCTGGATATTTTAGCGGACTATTTACGTCTGAGAGGCTTTCAATTTCAAAGGCTGGATGGCAGCACAAAGCACCACTTACGTCAGCAGGCTATGGAACACTTCAATGCCCCTGGAAGTGAAGATTTTTGTTTCCTACTTTCAACAAGAGCGGGGGGCCTTGGAATCAATCTTGCTACTGCAGACACTGTGATTATCTTTGATTCTGATTGGAATCCACAGAATGACCTTCAAGTAAGTTTTCTTTTTGAAAATTCACAAGTTTATTCCACGTTCTATGTAGGCAATGAGTCGGGCTCATCGTATTGGGCAAGAGTTTGTCGTCAACATTTATCGCTTCGTGACATGTAGAAGTGTCGAGGAAGACATTTTGGAACGCGCAAAAAAGAAAATGGTATGTGTGTTTTTTTATTTGTCGTGTATTTCTCACTGTTCGCTTTCAGGTTCTTGATCATCTAGTCATACAGAAGCTGAATGCGCAAGGACGGCTGGAAATGAAGGAGACCAAGAAAGCTACAACGATGTTTGACAAGGTGTGTTCCATGTCTCCGATGAGCCTTCTATTGATCTGGATCTGGAACTGCAGAACGAGCTTGCAGCAATTCTTAAGTTTGGGGCGGAAGAGCTCTTCAAGGAAGAAAAGAAGAGCGAAGAGGAGGCCAAGAGCAAGCTGGAAAACATGGACATTGATGAAATACTTGAGAGAGCAGAGAAAGTGAGCGGCGATACCGAGCAACCGGGTGGCGAGCTTCTTGGTGCTTTCAAGGTATTGGCGTGGTTTGAAATGTCCACTCCACTGAGTAGCCTGTACTATTTTCAGGTAGCAAATTTCAGTCAGGGAGAAGATGATGCAGCATTCTGGAGCCGTCTGATTCCCGCTGAGACTGCAAAGGAAGCTCCAGTAAGTAAAAAAATTTAATTGTGATTTAATATTTTTCTTGCGGCTTTGGTAGGATTTGGGACCTCGTGCAGCAAGAAAAATACGAACTTACGCCGAAGATCTTCCCGCTGATAGGTACAGCAAGAGAAGAAAGAACGCTGAAGAAGTTGGCCGTAAGCGGTCTACAAGGCTGTCAAGAGCCCCGGAACCTCCTCCACGCGTGGATGGTGCTTCAGCCCATGTTTACGAGTGGGAGGGTACTACTATTTCAAAAAGGGACGCGAACGCGTTTGTTAAAGGCGTAAGTAAGCTTTTGAAGTTGCTTGTGCACTCATCCTGGTTTTCAGGTTAAAAAATTTGGTGACAAGAGCCGGATAGATATGATTGTTGTTAACACGGGATCAGCTATTGAAAATGCGTCTGAAGATTCTCAACTGGATCTCATGGACGCTCTTTTGGATGGTTGCACCGAAGCTGTGGACAACAGCCATAACCCGAAGGTGACATACTTTGTCCTTCTGTTTTCAATGCTTCTAATTGGCTTGTGCAGGCTGCTATTTTGGATTTTTTTGGAGTTACAGTTAAAGCTCAGGAGGTTCTTACTCGAGTCAAGGAGCTTACTTTACTTGGAAAACGCATCAGGCGATACCAAGACCCTGTTTCTCAGTTTCGTTTGCGTTCGCATTCCAAAAATCCATCTTCAATGTGGTCGAGATGGTCTCAAGGTAAGGTTATACGTTATATTTTCCTCTGTTCGTCACCCTGTATTTTTCAGTCGACGACGCCAGGCTTTTACTTGGGGTTTACTACCATGGCTATGGAAATTGGGAGAAAATTCGAACGGATGAGAGGCTTTTACTAGGTAAGAAGATGGCTCCAGGCGGTGCGACGGCGGGAGAAACTTCTCTACCAAGAGCAACCCATCTGGATGCTCGGGTTAATACACTTCTACGAAAGGTTGTTATCATTCCATTTTGAACTTTCTACTCACATTATTTTTCAGGAGACGGAACTTGACAAGGGATCCAATGGCGAGACCTCGAAGAGCCGGTCGAAGCGTAATCAAGAAAGCTCCAGTAAACTGCGACAGGGCAAGGACCGGGCCAGCAACAGCAGCCGGCCTTCGGGGACACGAAAGTCGGCAAGGAATATCAACAGAGAGAACGCTGCCATAGCGGCTGCTGCGAGAGAGGAAGCAGAAGACAAGGAAGAAGGGGAGATCTCAGATGATGAAAGCACGCAGCGGCGACCAAAGGGTGTCACCGACGAGAAGGAAAGGGACCAAAGATGGCATAACTGGTGCGAGGGTGTCATGAAAGGCGAGGTGAGGACGCTCAAACGTCTCCAGAATTTGAAGTCCGCTCACTCCGAGTCCAACGAGAAGGTTCTCGCTTGCAGTTTTCATCTTCTCGACTTATTACTCACGTAATCTTTGGTTTCAGGTGGTAGTAAGAGTGAAGAAGTACCTACAAAAGCTCGGTCAGAAGATTGACAGCATCTTGGACGACAACAAGGGGGAGAAATGCAATCCTCAAAGTAAGCCTTTTCATTCAAAGACGCGGTCATATATATGCTTTTGTTTTGTAGAAATGGCCATGAGGTTGTGGAACTACGTCGCGAGGTTTTCAGACCTCTCCGGTCCCGATCTCTCCGACTTGTACCACAAGCTCAAACGTCAGCCGGAAGCAGCCGCGCCCTCCGCCGCGAGCGTCGAGAACAACAACGAAAACAACGGTACGTCGAGGGAGAAACACGAGCCTCTTACGTACAAGAGGCGGCACGGGCGGAAGGACAACGCAGAGTCGTCCAAGAGGCGGAGGAAAGGAGGGGACGAGGAGGAAACAGGTGCTAGGAACAGCTCGGCGGACAAGGCACACTACTTCTACGGCAAAGGGACTTCTCGCAAGGACCATCTTGATCGAGCAGGGGAAGAGGATTAGCTTTGGGAGATTCTTACAACGGGGCGAGCAGCACAGAGAGAAAGAAGATCGCGCGGAATAACAAAACCAGAGATGGCCACACACACACACATAAGAAAAAAGAAATTTTTTGGGGATGCAAAAAGAGTCGCTTCGATCGAACGAGATGGTGATGACGATTTGCCGTGGTGGCCGAGAGAATTGTACAGGAGGGGGGATTGTCCATACAGGAGGAGAAAATGGAATGGAATTCCACACACGCAAAAGCTTGTATTTCTTGACAATCCTCGTCGACAAAAGTCCTATTTTTTGTTCTTGTTCTTGTCAAGCCAGGCGTTGATCTCTTCCTCGGTTGGAGAGAGCGTCTTGTTCTTGGTGGTACGCTGAAAAAACACGAAGAACTTGAGATATCTTCGTTCCATTTTTTATCTTCTTTTTTATCAGAGATCGGGAGTTTTTTTTTTCCTTGTGTACATCGAACTTAGCTTTTGAAGCGTCCAGGGAAATAGGCCAGCTCGGCTTTCCTACTACTTTGAGATGGCCATAATCACAGATCAAAGTTCGCAGAAAAAGAAAGAAGCCTTCTCTCATCCTGGTCTTTTCTTTTTGTATTTTACTTTTCTAGATGGCAACTTGAGAAACTTAAACGTGACCTTCACAACAAATGATGCTGTTGCTGCCGGTATGAGGTATCTTTCTCAAGACCTTTTCCTCCGAAGTCTTGCGTTGCTAATCCCTCTGTCCCGATGCTTAGGGAGAACACAAACTAATAATCTCCAAGGATGTGAAGGTTCCCCTATATCGACTTCATAATCCTAACGGGAAGTATGGAACTTTTCCTTTCAGTTAACTTGATTTTGCAGTCTCTCTATAAACTCTGGCCAGAATCCGTTTGTTTTAGACGTGGAGGTAAGGTGAAGTGTGAGCCGCAGGTGAGACGACCATTTTGATCTGGTTCTTTTTTCGTAAACATTCCAGCATTTTGGGTGCATACTTGCTACTTTACAGACACCAAAGGTGAGATTTCCATTTCATGCAATCGTGTTCTAAGGCTGCGAGGATAATCACGCCACTTCGACAAGTGGCTTGTTAGATTCAAGGCCAACAAGCCTGATTAAGCAGTACGACAATGTTACTCTTCCCTATCACCCCAAGGTGGTGGTGCTGTTTCCAATGGATTATTATACGCACAGCTTTGCTGAGGTATAAACGTAAAGGACATCGAAGAGGACATATCCCCAACAGATCCCGGGCTTTGGAATCTGGAGGCCCAATGAGATGCTGACGTCGCTGGGAAGTTTTAGGCATTATCCCTCTGGAATCAAGCCCGGGGTTTCTGCTGTGATGAAGCGTAGCATATTAAAATGCCCGGTCACTGGGGCATGTAGTGTAGGATTCCCTCTGGTGCATGAGGCTGCGGTATTTGGGCTGATCCCCCACAGCCAAGAGCCCGAGGCCTCCATTTTCTTAAAACTAAAACTAAGAAGCAGCTTTTGGTTTTCTGTTTCTGAGGATATTAGCACAATAGGAACATGAAAACTAGTTCTATCAGTGCTAGTATTGAATGACAAATGAGAAGAAATTTGTATACTGGATTTTTCATTGGTATAGTTGCAGCGATCATCTCCTTTGCAGTCATGGGCGTTTCAACGTACTGAATCAGCAATAGTTCGCTTATGATCCTGCAAAAGAAAGAAAAAAGGATGAACTCCAAACCCAGGGATACAGAAAGTTTGCTCATATGCCTTCGCTCTGTAGTTCCACAAGCGACCTTGTGAACCCAGTCCACCTTTCATCATTGAAGAAGAAAACAAACTTAGAAGGAAGTCGAGAGAAAGAAAAGAATGTACTTACCCTTGGATGCCGAGTAGATCGGATACAAAAGGACAAGAAAGAGTCCGCCAGTCGAAGCGAGATTCAAGATGGCTACTCCAGGACTGTCTTGGGACCTCATAGCTTGGATCTGTTCAAGTGTTTTAAAGGTATCAGCGGAAATTACTGCTTGGCTTGTGCATTTGATGGCTGCCATGAGGTTCACCCTACCCTCAAGACCTTACACCATTTGTCATCGCTCACGAAGTCCCTCTCCTCGACGATCCCTGCACAGTTGACGCACACATCCAGTCTCAAGAACGTCTCCTTGTGCTCCTTGAATGCCTTTGCGACTTGCTCTACAGGAGGAAAATATCTAACTGGGAAAAGGAATGCTGAAGTATCTCTCTCACCTGGATCGCAGACATCAGACTCAACAAAGATGGCAAACGTAGGATTCGGATTCGTCGGCTCTCTTACCAAGCTCAGGGTTCACAGCCCATTCTTACATACAATTGTGATGTTTCCACCGCGCCTCGCAAGGTCCAGCGCCCTCCCTGGAAAAGACAGTTCGATCGAGTGAAATTGAGCTGATGACGCTTATTCTCTCCGCTTTTTTTCTCTTTGCTGTGTGTGCCAACAGAAGAGACACAGCAATGCCAGATCCAGCACCAGTGATGCCGATGCAAGAGCCACCTCTAACCTTCATCTTCTGCTCCTCCAAGAATGCATTATAGATGAGTTACAATTTTTGCCAGCCTGCTCAAAAAAAATTTAGTACGAAGGAGTGATGTGTTCGAATCCGTGCCCCAACATGCTTGGGAAAATAAAAGGGAGTGATCAGTTTGTTTTATTTAAGGGTCCCTCTTCTTCGGGTGGGTTCGAACCCGGGATCGGCTCTACAAGACTATCCCTCGGCCCCTGGGCTGGCCAGTCTTCCCAGGGTTGATCACTTGAAAAATATTGCGCCCCTCCTCTACATAACTCGTGAGCTAAACTTAGTTTGGTTTAAGCCTTGGAACGAATATTCTAGCGAGAAGAAGAATATTGTGTCAGAGCATGGGTATGAACACGTCGAGTTTCTATGTTTTAACCTGTGTCGGCAATGAAATTTGGATACTGTCCTTGGCATAGAACACCATCGCAGCTATTGCTACTTCCCCACTCTTTCCGCAATCTCACGATATCATCCGTGAAAGTGGAGCCCGGCGTCCCGATGAACGATTCGGCCATAGCGCAGATCGTTTTGTCCAGCATCGCTACCACCTTTGCAACCAAAGCAAAGTCGATCGTCAGAAAGAAGAAGTTTTGCTTAGATCGCTCACCTCGTTATCAGCTAGCAGGCCTTTTCTTTGCAGGATCGCGTCCCATCTCTCGAGTCGTGCTGTGGCCTCTGGATCATTGGAACGTCAGGGCCGAGCAATTGCTGGAGGAGAGTGATCTCGCTCTCCGCCGCGTCCGTGGAGATGTAGATCACTCGGGGCTTGGCCTCCTGGATCTTCCTCGAGATGCAGCTGGCAGCTTGAGGAATCGGGAAGAAGCAGCTCTCATTCTTTACATTGCTGCCAAAAAAGAGAGAAAAGATCGTAAAAAAGCTCTTCTTACCAAAACTTTAAGAAGCCATGCCGACGAAAGTGGAGCGCCATGAAGTTGGATCCCAGGAAAGTTGCACGAACCTTTGCACGGTGAGAAGAATGAGCCGGTTTAGACGGATGATCGTCTTGCACGAGTGCTGCAATGGACCACCAATCTGTGCTACGAGCTCCGACTCCACGTCCGAGTAGAACACGTCCCCTATGCCAAGAACCTCGTCCTCGCAAGAGAACTTCGCCACGAATTCGCTCGCGCGAGGATGAGATGGATAGCCTTTGAGAGAAGCTTCTTCAGGCCAGGCATCGTTCTTGGAACTCCACGAAAGTCCCAAAGCTTTAATCTTCTTCTCGTGATCTTCGTCCAAGTAGCAGCCACTCATGTAGCACAGGAGCCGGATGTCCGTCTTGTTCTTGCCGAGAAATTCATGGGATGTGAGGAGAGTCTTCTCTCCTAGGCAGCTGCAAATGTGGGCGATGTCGAGCGTCTTCTCGTACGAGTAATCGACGCTGGAAAAACGAGCGCCCGATCGAGCAGCGCCGCGAAGAACATGTGCTTCTCGAGGCAGATGAGGTGATTGGAGATCTGGCCGGAGGTGCAAATCACGAGAAGGAAGCGATCCTCTCCCTGCCGCCATTGGACGAGCTTGCCGTGGCGTCTGAGAAATTCTGGCCCTGGCAGCCCCGCATTCCCGGATCGTATCCATGTCTGACGCCTGATACCAGCTGCTGGATCTGGTGATTGAGCTCGATCTGCGAGCGCAAGGCATCGGCCTGAGAAAGAAGAATCGCGCGTCACATTCCAGATTTCGAAGAGCCCCTGGTCCTGTCCACAAGACGCCCGGAATCTTGTGCCAATTGTCGTTCGTCAAGTAGATGACTTCCACTGTTCTCGCAATCTTTGCTCTTTTCATCGTCTCGCTGTTTTCTCAGTCTGCTGCGATCCAATCGCCCAAGGCGGGCTCAATCTGTCCCACTGCAGTCTTTACATTCGCAGATTCTCTCAGCGATGGTGGCAACCGCGACATCGAGGCTGGCGAGAAGACTCTCTCGGGCATGTATCCCTATGGCGTCACCTACGGAAGGCCCATTGGACGCTACAGTGATGGGCTCGTCATCCCCAACTTTCTGATCCAGAAGCTTCACCTCGAGAACTTGGGCATTCCGAGCCTCGAATTCAATGGCACCGAGTTTGTCAGCCTCAATTGTGGATACGCCGGAGCCACCATGATCAAGGTCGAGAACCAGCCATTCTCCAGCCCGCACATCTTCTCTGCCCAGGTTAACGATTTCGTGCGTCACCGCTCCAAGGTCGTGGGTGAATACGGCCGCGAGGATAGCTACATGGTCGAGATTGGAGGTGACGATATCAACTTCGGGGTGCCGCTGGGAGGTGATCAATGTCACCATTCCGGCCGTGATCCGGGGCCTGGCCGATGGAATCCACAACTTGTACGTACACGGAGCTCGCGCTCTACAACATGCCCCGCGCCGATTGCTCGCCAAACTATCGTCAGTCCTTCCAGCAGTTCCCTGAGGGGATGTACCATCGAGATTGCCCAACTTATCTCCTACTTCAACTCACAACGCCAGGCTTTGGCGGCCGAGCTCACCCAAGAGTATCCCGGTCTCACTGTTTACTACTTTGATTGGTTTGCTGCCAACACCTACATGGAGGAGTTTGGCTTCACGAACTCGCTCCAGTCGTGCTGCGGCGGCGGTGGCAAGTTTAACTGTGATGGAGATGGTCTTTGTGGCTGTGCGCCAGTGAACCACACAGATGCTGTCTACACAGTGTGTGAGCATCCCAGCGAGTACTTCACCTTCGATGGCATTCACTACACAGAACACTTTGACAAGATTATGTTTGACTTTATCATGGCCCGAAACTACATCACGCCCAAGGTGAGGTTGGACAAGGGATGCAAGGTCATTGTTTAAATAGTCATTTTACTTCTCACCACACACACACACACACACACACACCACCCCAAACACTAATGTAACCACTAAACAATTTTCTTAATCATTGACATTGATCATACCATGAAAAAGTCTTTTGAAAGAAGCAAAGACAATCCCGAAATTAGAGCTTCACGCTAGGAGCATTGCCTTGATTTTAGCCTTCATGATCTCATGGCACTCGTCTTCAGTGTGTCTCATTCATGAAACTCTAGTCATCCAGCTCAAACGAGCGTCCAAAGTAATCTTCAAAGCGCCACTGCGAGCACTAAACACGATCGCGTCGTTGCAAGTTTGAGTGGAGTTTGATACATTTTAGGTGTAAGTACGAAGGAGTGGTGTGTTCGAATCCGTGCCCCAACATGCTTGGGAAAATAAAAGGGAGTGATCAGTTTGAGGGTCCCTCTTCTTCGGGTGGGTTCGATTCGGGATCGGCTCTACAAGACTATCCCTCAGGTCCCTGTCTTCCCAACTTGAAAAATATTGCGCCCCTCCTCTACATAACGATTTAGTTAGGCCTTAACCCTGGTTAACGATACGCAGGGAAGCTCTTGCCGAGGTGGACGCCAAAAATCCATGAGTGGAGACCGTGGTGATCGCCAGGCTTGGCAAGAGCTTTCGAGATATCGCTTTTAACTCGCAGGATGAAGGTGTGGTTTTGTATCCGGATCCTCGGACTACGCCATCCTGAGATTTTGTTTCGAAGACCAGGGAATAAAAGGTTGTGCGAGTGGTAACTTCGGTCACGCAGGAGAGAGCTCACGTAGAGATTGATCGCGATGATCGCCAAGAAGTGCCAAACATCTCTTTCTTCGGTCTTGTCCTTCAAAATCTTCTCCTCTCTCTCACACCTGGATTTGTCGAAAAGATTTAAGGCGGGTCTAGGTAATGGTACCAAGGGACGTGGATCATGGTGATCGCCACGGCGGTGTCAGGCTTATGCTCTTTCTGAAAGAGTTATTCTATCATTTGGAGATGGTTGTGAGTTATCCTCACGAGTGAGCAGGCGGATCATTGTATTGAGACCCGTCAAGGATCACTACAGCATGATCTGGATGTTCTTGCGAGGTCTGGAAGGCTGGAGGACGCCGAGGAGCTCATCCACACGCCATGCCATTCTTTCCAGATCACAACTAAAGCCGCTCGAGTCGAGCCCTGGCCAGCGTCTAGCTCGAGCTATAGAACTTCCACAAATCCTGGAAGTAGAGTAGAGAAGCTAAGGATCTAGCAGCGAGGGTGCAACTCTGGAAAACTTACGTCACAAAAGATCACTGTCCACAACTCACATTCGCAGCTCTTTGGAAAGGTTTTACAACCTTAATCGATTCTACGATCTTAACAAACTTGTGGCTGTTCTAAAGTTCCCTACTCTGAAGTGTGTGAAGGATGTGTAGCATTTCTTGGGCAAGATTCAGTATCTCGGTTGTTTTGTGGATCATCTTTCTAATCACACTGCACCATTGTGAGCGTTGCTAAAGTTATCAACATCATCTTTCATCTGGTCTCCAGATTGTGAGCGGGCGTTCATGGACAAGAATCGACGCTAGGAGATCCTGCCCAGGATTTTGGCGCCAAGAAAGTGGGAGCTCCGTGGGATCGAGTTATAACTGGCGGTTGTCTCGCGGTTCCAATCGAAGAGGACAGATCCCCGACAGATCCCGGGGTTTGGAATCTGGAGGCCCAATGAGATGCTGACGTCGCGCTGGAAGTTTTAGGCCTGCCACGTGGTAGGGGTTATACAATATCCCACATGCCGAGGTCTGGAATCAAGCCCTCCCAAGTCTATATAAGCATAGCATATTTAAAACTAAAAACTAAGAAGCAGCTTTTGGTTGCATATTTAAAACTAAAAACTAAGAAGCAGCTTTTGGTTGCATATTTAAAACTAAAAACTAAGAAGCAGCTTTTGGTTGCATATTTAAAACTAAAAACTAAGAAGCAGCTTTTGGTTTTCTGTTTCTGAGAATATTAGCACAATAGAAACATGAAAACTAGTTCGATCAACTCTAGTATTGAATGACAAATGAGAAGAAATTTGTACACTGGATTTTTCGTTGGTATAGTTGCAGGGATCAGCTCTTGGCAGTCATGGGCGTTTCAACATACTGAAACATCAGCAATAGTTCGCTTATG